TAGATAACATGGAAATTTCGATAGCATTCCACATTTTAAAACATTCCTTCCAAACACCCATACAAATATGTTTTTCCAAGGCAAAAGAGATATTCCTATGCTTGAAATGCTACTTCTAATTTCTAATTTATTCTTACAGGCTAATTTGCAAAATGAAATTGTTTGCATGATTGGTTTGCAGTAAACATGGTATACCAAATTGGTTTCTAAATTTAGAGAAAGGTTGAGTCTCTTCTTATAATCAAGAAATAATAGCAGTATTAATGATAATGAAACTTCCATAATTAAAAAGTCACATTCTGAAATAACAAGAAGAAATGAACATTAGTAGGTAGCAGCAACATAAATTGTAATTCTTGCAAATAATTATTTTGAACTCTTTTTATGGGATAATGCAAACTCCAAAATGCAACTTAGTAAATGATAATATATGTACCATATGTGTCATCAATAAGTGCCATAGTCTTTGGAGAATTTAGTACTATTAAACGTAACAGTTTACTGGAGATTTTCATTCTAAGTGAAGTAAGACAGAGAAAGAAAAATACTATATGATATCACTTACATGTGGAATCTAAAAAAAAAGGCAAATGAACTAATTTACAGAACAGAAACAGACTCACAGACATAGAAAACAAACTTATGGTTACCAGTGGGGGAAGTAAGGGAAGGGATAAAATGGGAGTTCGATATTTGCAGATAGTAACTACTACATATAAAATAGATAAACAAGTTTATACTGTATAGCACAGGAACTATATTCAGTATCTTCTAGTAACCTATAATGAAAAAGAATACGAAAACAAAAATATGTATGTATGTGTATGACTGAACCATTATGCTGTACACCAGAAATTGACAAATCATTGTAAACTGACTATACTTCAATAAAAAAACAAAGGTATTGGAAATAATGCATAAAATTCTAAAAATCATAAAAGACAAAGTTGTTTTAATAGATGCTATGACTTCTATGTCTGATATTTTAAAATTTCAGAAGGTAGCAATTATTGTTATCCATATAAATGTATTTAAAGAAAAATCTTCTTTATGTGTAATAGGATTTGGGGATGAACTCTAGATTTTAAATACAGTAGACTTCATATCCTTTCTTGGAGGTTTTTGAGGACTGATTTTTGGTAATATCGCTTTGGCATAAAATGTTTTATGAAGTCCAGCTTCTCGAAGTGCTAACTCAAAACGAAGTCTAGGGTCAGAAATTATCTGTAGAAATAAAACACAGTTTAAATAAATAGCAATTCACTGAAGTAAATTTTATCACTTAGTTCTGTATTACCCCAAACTGTATAATTTGTTTTTGCTGGACAGATAACTAGATGACAATAAATTGTGTATTTACAGTGACTATATCCTGATTATTTTTACTGAAAATATCCAAACCTTTTTTGACATTATCACTTTCTAGTGTACCAGTGGTTTCCAATACAAGATGTATAGAATATTGTATACTAGATTAGTCAAAATAAAACACATTAAAATTATTAAAAGATGAGATAAAAGAAACAACTTCAGTACTATCTTTTATTTGTTATTTATTGATAGCTGGGGTTATAAAATATAAACAATCATTGATTAAACCTAAACCACAACTTGTACATGTGTCTTTAAAACAGACATTTTAATTTCTCTATCGTTTGGCAATATGTAAATTAAGTTCAAACACACGGCCACTATTTGAGAAACAAAATCAATAGAACTTGTCTTCCAAGGCTGGATTTCTATTTCAAAGAGAACTAGAAAATGGTTCCATCAATCTGATCCTAAGTGGGAATAGACATATGAGTAGTTCAATTTGTTTTCATTTATAGCTGATTGGATCTTATTCCTCCTTCTATGAATATTAATGTCAACAAACACTGTCTGCAATGATAAGAAGGTACCACATATAGATTTCAGCTAATGAAGCATTTTGCAGGAACCTAAAGTCCCTCTAGAGGATGGGATAGTGAGCTGTTGAAAGCAGCCCCTCCTTCAAGGAGCTGGTAAACTAACAGAAGTGATAAGAATGTACGCAGATAACTACAGTCTGTGGTAAGATGTGACAGATGCTCCAACAGTAGCAGAACACGGAGGTACATCTCCTGGTGCCGACGAGACTAGGATGGTCTCAGGTAAGGAGGACCACTTGAGCTAACTGTAATGTCCAGCTTATTCTTCTATAATGCTTGGGGTAGGGAGAGGAAGACAGATCAAGCCAGAAAGGAAGGCACATTTTGCAAACTTAGAGATGAAATTGGTCGATTTGGAATCAGGGTAGTTCGAGTAGAGTACCTGGTACCATTGGGGAACACTGAAAAAGGGCACTTCAAAGACTGGGGCTAGAATTTTAAAGGCTTGAAGGCTATGCCAAGGAGTCCAGGGAGCTACTGAGGTTGTGTTTCTGTTTTCAGCTTGGAACTAACATAACCATTGTTGTTGCACAAGAAGATGCATCTGATTGTAAGTTCAGGATAAATTAAGGGGGCAGAAAAAGAAGAGATGGAGACAGAGTGCTCACAGTCTACTACAACTGTCTAGACATGAAGTAATAGGTACCTAAAATTGGCTGGTAGCAAGTAGGAGATAACTGTCCAAAACACTGTGAAGGGAAGGATCAATGGAACTTGGCGACTGATCAGATACAGGGACCAGGGACAAGGATGTCAAGAATAATAGAGATATTTGTATCTGAAAAGCAAATATTGGAGCCTTAGACCTAGGTTTCTCCTCCTCTGCTCCAGGAGTCTCCCTGCTCACTCTCATCCATACCCAAGGATCCACGTGCCACCTGTGTTCTGATGTCCTAATTAACTCCAGGATTTACCTTTTTCCCCAGCTCCAGAATGGTGAGTTTTGAAATGTTTTCATAATTCTAACACATATCAGGTGAAATGAAGATCTCCCTCACCCGTTGACCTCCTTTTTCCCAATTCTTGTCCCCAGAGGAAGCCCCTCAGTTTCCTGTAAGAATGTGTTAGACATCTTCACCCTAAACCTGACACGAACAAAACACATTCTCTCTCCCTAAGTCTGTTTTAATTTCTGTATTCTTGTAAGGTTAACAGCAGCCCCACCTAATGATTATAATTTACTGAATTACTACTAGGTGCCACACAATATTCTAGGCAACAGACATTTATTATCCTAATCCTCACAAAAACCTTGCAAATTATTGTTTTACAGGTGAAGTAAACAAGACAGGAAGGTGTTAATAGCTTACACAAGTTCACACTGCCAGTAAATAGTGAATGTGGATTTGAATCCAAAATTCAGGCTCTTAGCATCCCTGGCTGCCTAGTTTAGAATCACGCTCTTTCATTATGCCGTCTTGCTCTCAGCCAGAGGCAGCCACGCCAAACCACTTCTAGGAGGGCTCTACCATCTTAAAAGGATCTGACCACACCCTCTACCCCTGTCCCTCACCCCCCCAGCCCCACCCCCACCAGTTTTTCATTCGAGACACGCCGCTGTAACATAAACCTGATTATACCATTCACCAGCTTCAAAGTCTCACCTCTGCTCACAGGATAAAGGTCAAATGTCTTAGCAAGTAAGCTCTACTATATTTTTCACAGTCTGAAGGGAACCTATGTTTCCAGTCTCAGCTCCCAGGACCCACCCTTGCCCTGTACCTTACACTGAAGACACATCAGTAAGGGCCTCTTTCCACTCTCTTCTGCTTGGTGAAACCCTTGTTTCCTCAGCCCAGGTACCTGAAAGCTTCCCAGCTTCCGACTTCAATTCTTTGCATGCCCAGCTGCCCTCCCTGCTTTGGCTTGTGGAGATACCCATGCCTCTTCTAATTAATCCCTCTCCCTGCGCCCATACCGCCCCCCAATCTGTTTTCCCTGTTGTTCATTTTTAATTTAAATCATCTGGAATGAATTCTGTTACTGCTGCCAAAAATCCTCAGCTAAGGTGGAGCTTAGTTTCCCCTTCTCACTTTCTCTGACTTGGCATTCAGGGTTGCCCGTTCACTCCCTTCCTCCTGCTGCTGCAGCCCTTCGCTCTCCATTAGGAAGGTGACCTCACCATTATTCTCATGCGGGCTGCTTTCCCTCCCAAACCAACTCCCCTGCTCACTTCTTCCACACAGGACAAGTTTATCTTGTTCAGGATGCAGCCCTGGCACCTGCCACAGTGCCAGATACAGTATATGTCCCATAAATATCTGTCCAGTTAATATGTGAATTGTTCATCTTTTTATCCCCTAGCAAAGTATGAAGCACATGGTAGAGGGACACTCGATAAATTTATGATAAATTTGTCAGCGGGTGAATGGATGAATTCTCCTGCTTTTTAAGTAATTAAGTAACCATTTAGCTTTTATTAGATTTGTAAAGTTAAGTACTTTCTCCTTTAATTTCAGTGATAACTTTTCATTCATCTGTCCTTGCCCCTTGTCTTCAATCCATCCATCTTAAAAATTTTTAAAAATCTCTTAAAAATCTCTTCTCAGTTATAGAAACAGACTAAAATGATTCAGGAGGTCCTAGATATAAATAACCTCTTATTACCTTTTGCCACAGAAAATGTTTTATTTTATCATTAGTTCTGATATATTATCTTCTGTTCACTGGGCTTTCAAAAAGCTTCCCTCTGCTTTGTCTTATCAGTACCATCAGTTGTTTCTTTAATAGGATTTAGGTTACTCACTTAAATAAATTCTGAATATAATTAATATTTATACAACAAAATGCAATATTAACACAACTTCAAAGTAAAATTTTATAAATTTCTTTGGATTAAAATGATTTTCAGTGACAGATTCATAACATTCTCAGATAAACTGTTTTGTTCTATAGTCACGTTATCAACTATTTTAGAGTATTAAGAATTGTTCAATAATTATGCACTATCACTTAGAAATAAAAATTACATTAATATGCATGGTATTTAAATGTAAATACTGAAAATAATTTGTAACCCAAAACACACACTTCTACAGTTCTTATCATCATCATGGCTTTTGCATTAGTCATGCTAATTTCCGTACTTACCTGCTGTTCATTGTATGTATTCAATGTGAAGAGTGGCTTTTGAAGAATAAATTCTTCTTCAATTCCAATACCCATCCTCGCTTTTGATGCCATTGTATCTGACATCATTCTAACAGGATCAAATTGAGCGACAATAGCAACCTATGAGAAAGAAAGCATGGTTACTTGGAACAAGAAACAAGCTAAATTCTTCTGGGCAACATTATTAATGCTTAATGTCCATTAAAGTTAAGAAATTTTATTAAAAACTACATAATTATAGCTATGGTTACTTTTCTTTCTGCCGCAAAGTCAAGGGAAATTTTGTATAGAAAACCCACATATTCAACCACCTTGATAGTAACCAAAAGTAAAACACATCAATTTTTAGCCAGTAGCAATCTATGGCCACAGTAACAACCCCATGAAGCTTTCTAGAAAGTTTAATCTGATTGAGCTGAATCTAAAGCATATCATTTATGGTAACTCGGGTGTGTTGGCATTAGTGAGCAAGATGTGCGAGTTTCCACTGTAGCAGGCAGCTAGATTTCCAGGGACTGTTATAAGCCATTGTTCTCTCTTTTACTGAAAAACTGCAGAGTCTTTTTAACCCAAATGCCCTTGTCCTTTAGGATAATTGAAATCATTCAAACCCTCATCCTAATGGAATGAAGCCACTAATTTTGTAAATTATATGCACTATTAATAACACCTGCCTGTTAATTCCTAAAATCAAGAATTAGCATTAAGAAAATGGCACTTTTAATACCATTTAGAAATTGTAATGACATGTCTGGGGGTTGAACTGCTATATTATAGGTCTCCTAGCCAAAATGTCTTATACTATAGTTCTAAACCCTGATTACAGATTACAGGCACAAATATTTCCTCTTTCAAAGAGCTCAGAGATGGAAAGAATCCCAGTCATATGGGCTCTGCAGTAATCAAAATCACATTTTGGACAAGAATGTGTTTAGTAATAGTGACATTAAGTTTTGTCCCCAGGATGCCATATTATTATTTGCTAATGATTGAATAATTTAAATTTTGTTGAACCTAAGATGACCAGGACTTACATTCCTATCCTCTGAATTTATTTCTATAATCTATTTTATTTGATCAAAGATGATATACTAGCTGAATGCATTTACACTTCCTCTTTGCTATCTCATTTAACTAGACATCCTTGGTTTGAATACAGTTTGACATTTACTAGTTATGTGACTTTGGGAAACCTCTGGGCTTCCTTGGTTTCCTCTTCTATAAATAAGAATATTAATAATATCTACATCATAGGGTTGTGGTAGAGATTAAATGGGGGTAAAACCTAAGAGCATTTAGAAGAGGGCTTTATACATAGTAAATACTCAAAAAATGTGAATTCACATTACTACAAACCTATGAGGCTGGTACTATTATTATTATTCCCGTTTTTCAGAGGAGGACACTTAGAGGGATAAAGTAAAAGACCTAAGTTTCCTCTGCCAGTAAGTAGTGAACTGGGTGATACCAGGTTTGAAAAACACCAGAGGCCAAGTTCTTATCCCAGGTCCAATGCTGCCTCCACCAACATGGATGGGAAACCAGACAGTCATTTCCCATCAGCTGGGAAATGGTGTCAGAGTACAGCTTATGAGTGGAGTTAATCACTTTCAGGTTAAAAACTCTGAAAAATTACCAAGTAAAACTCTTTTATCCCATTTCCCAAGTTCCTAAATTCCTGCTGCTGCCGTCCACGTCTATCAAAACTTTTGCCTTTTATGAGCCAAAGAAATGGGAGGCTCTTATTTCTCCACAAAAACAGTATTGTTAAAAAGTGAGTTTTAACCTGGATACAGCCAAGCAGAGGTTTCTACCCTGTAGAGGATTATCTTGCTCAAGCTCCAGCACAGTTTTTTGAGGAGAGTAATATCTTTTGGCTAGAAGCAGAGTTTCACTGCTGCAAATGGATACTATTTAGCTTATAAACTAGAAATAATATGGATGCATTTAAATCTTGGGAGAGCTTTTTTAAAAGGTGCTGATAAAGTTCCTTTAATATACTAAGAAACTGGAAATGGTTCAGCATAAATCTGATTGCTCCCAGGAATGAAGGTCAGTGTCCCAATTTGGAAAAGTTACATTTTATATAGCAGATGTCATGAACTAAGCCCTAGTAATAATGTTATTAAGAGCACTTAGGAACATTCTTTTAAACCACCCATGAAAATTTCCAAATTAAAAACACCTGTTTCCTAAGGGCTGCTAGCCGCCTCTCTCTCTCTTCTTCTTCAAGTGCTTCTTGAAGGGCCACTTCTTTTTTCTCCATCAAACGCTTTTCCAATAATTCTTGTCTGTATTTAACCCTTTAAAAATAATGCACAGGGAAATGGGGAACACATCATGACAATGCTGGATATTGTACAGATAAGAGTGTAGGGGCAGAAGGCATCCCAGAAATTGCATCATAGTCATTTTGTTCTTACTTGCTTTTGGTTGATTTCTCATAGCAAAACAATAAAGGACACGTGCATAAAGTACAGTTTACAGTAATTCTAACAATAGTCTGAGAACTGCCTGTCATGGGGCAGAAAACCTGGGGTAAAATCCAATCTTCTCTTTCTTCATTGAAATCATCGTATTAACACTCAGACTGTCAGCTGCCACAGCTGCAGCTGATCCAACCCAACAGATGACAGTCCCGCTGGAGCTATTACAGCAGTCTTCCGATACGTTTTCACACAATTTGAGATGTTAAAAGTCTATGTTACTGATGAAATATACATAATTTTAGAAAGACTAGTAAATAAAATACTGTAACAGTACGCCCAAAGTATCTCAATTACTAGAACGTAAAACAAAGTTCATCTATATTGTCACTCATTTTGTCAAGAATGCCCTTTCTGGGTGGACATGTGTGCTTGTTAGAAAACTTTGAAAATTGCACTTTGACTGTAGATGGCAGCAAAAACATGACTTTCCCTTAGCATTCTGTTTCCATACTCCTTAAAATCAGCAGGTATTAGAACAGGGTATATTTAAATACCTTTTTAATACTTCCAAGTTCATTTCGCCCTCCTCTGCTGCCTTTTTTGGGGCAGCCTTCTTAAGCTTCCTTTTGCCCAAGGTATTCTTCTATTGAATTGTAGAGATAAGATTTGTCTTTTCAAAAAAGTGGGCACTTGGGTTCTTCAGGGAGTAGGAGGCCTTAAATCACTGGCAGTGTAGATTTAACTTCCTCTATGGCATTGGTCACAAATGTGCTTTGCCCTTAGTGTGCCCACCTGTATTTTCCATGGGTGTCCCTTCACTAGACCTTCTTGTTCTGGATCTTGACATTTGCTGAGGTGTTCACTGTGCACCAAGTCTTGTGCTAAGGGCTTTACCTGTTGTAGCTCACTTAGATTTCACAACAACCCTACATCGGGGCACTATTATTGAGTCCATTTTAAAGATAAAGAACTGGAGGCATAGACAGGTGACGTGACTTGTCCAAGTTCTCACACCCAGAGAGTGGCAGAGCCTGAGATCAGGGTTGGCATCTAAGAGTGGGTGACTTCTTCAGTTTTGCCCCACCTAATCACAGCCCTGAGCAGGGAAGGGTTCAGAGGGGCTGAAACAGAGCAAGTGGGTGACCAATGACAGAGAAGGAGATGCCCAGGAAAATGCTGGGAGGATGAGCCTGGTTGTCACCTGGTTCCCTCAGTGATTTGCTCCTGGGGAGGAAAACTCTTTAAAACCAGGTTGCTCCTGAGGCTGGCATTAAAGAAGCAGCCACACTGGGAGAGGAGAGGAGAGAAGCGGGCAGTAGATCCTTGCAGAGTACAGAACCCAGAGTGGGGTCTGGAAGGGAGCTCCTAAGCTCCTTTGATGGCTGTTGGCCATTCTCCCCGTCACCCCCTATTTCAGGACTCAGTACAGTCAGGTATACAGATTAAAGAATCTGAGTCCAGACTGCTCCCTTTCTTCAATGCCTCCCTGTCATGCATGGAAAGTTTATTTCTCATTCCCTCCATTTTCACTAAGGCATGACACAACCTCCCTAGTGAGGTTCTACTCAATTTAAGCACTGAGGACAAGCTAAGTGAGCTACTGTGAAGGTACAGTTAAAAGACACCTTGGGATTTGACAATTAACATATGTTAATTCTCAGAACCTCTGAAAAGTAACTCTTCCTTTGGGATGCATAGGTTGCTTTGTCTGCAACAGAGTTTTGGTTACTTTGTGGAAAAGTAGTAGTTGTTTCAGTTAGAGGAGCTTGCTTAGTGAGGACAAGATTGCGAATGAGACATCTGAACCTGTGTGCTAAAGAAGGCTGGCTCACGCTTTACTTTGAGGCTCATTCATTCAACAAAAATTTGTGCCCTACATCAGTCACTGGAGATAGATTTCAACAGGGAGACATGCTCCTGTCCTCATAGAATTGACAATCTAATGTGGATACAGAGACCCAGGAATTATGACACAGGGTGGCTCTTGCTCTGATGAGACAGTAGGACAGAGGCCATGGGACAGGCACCTTTGGGACATTCAGGGGAACATCCAACAGGAAGTGCTCTAAATTTCAGACCTAAAAAAATGAGCAGGAATTCACCAGAGGGGAAGAGAATAGAAAGAATGTTCCAGGCAGAAAAAAAAAAAGCATATGAAAGCCCATAGGTGAGAGGACATAATATTTCTGAGGAACTGAAAAATGTTTGAAATGACCAAAAATGAAAAATGTAAGGTGAGGAGTGCCAAGAACTGAGGCTGGAGAGGCAGGAGAGGTGAGATTGTGAGGGCTTTGCAAGCATGAGTGCTTTGATCAGGGAAATGCGATCAGAAAACTCCCTCCTGTAACATGGAGGAGGATGGCTTGCAAGGCCAGAGAGAATTCTCCAGAGGCAAGTTGATGGTTTCCTGAACCAAGGCAGCAGGAAGAGTACTGGGAGGAGTTAAGAAGAAGACATGGGTTTATTTTTGTAGAAAACAGAATAAATAGGAATTGTTACTTTATTTTATGAGAGAGGGGAAGAGAGAAGTTAAGGTTTCTGTTTTGCACGGTGAACAATGGTGTCCCTCACTAAAACTGGGATCTTAGAGAGACAGAGGGCAAAGAAGGAATTAAGTCCAGTTTAGACATAGACCTGCTGTCATAAGATCTGGGCTGGAGAAGTGGATGTAGGTCTTTATCAATGGCATGGGATTAAGACCATGGGACAGATGGCATCAATCAGAAAGAGACTGTAGAGTAAGAAGAGAGGTAGGCCTAGGATTGATTCCCAAGGAAACAACTTTTTTCTTTACATATTTTAGTATTTATGATTTTTTACCATTCATTCATTGACTACTGAGCACCCACTCTGTGCCACTGGCTGTTACAGGTTGGGTGATTGCACTGATTAAAAAAACCTGCTCTCGCCATTTGCAGCAACATGGATGGACATAGAGATTATCATACTAAGTGAAGTAAGTCCAAAAGACAGCAAATATCATATGATATCACTTAAATGTAGAATCTAAAAAAATGAGACAAATGAATTTGTTTAAAAAACAGAAACAGATTCACATAGAAAACAAACTTATGGTTACCAGGGGGAAAAGGAGGGAAGGGATAAATTGGGAGTTTGGGATTTGCAGATGCTAACTACTGTGTATAAAATAGATAAACAACAAGGTTCTACTGTATAGCACAGGGAACTACATTTAATATCTTATAATAACCTATAATGAAAAAGAATATGAAAAGGATATATATATATGTGTATATATATATATATAACTAAATCACTATGCTGTACACCAGAAACTAACACAACATTGTAAATCAACTATTTTTCAATAAAAAAAAAAACAAAAAGCCCCTGCTCTCATAGTGTTTCAATTCTAGACATATATATTTCTTGATGTATTTAAAAGAAAGGAAGGGGGAATTATCAGTTGAATTTATCCACTTTGCTGCAACCCAAGGAAGCAACTTCTAAGAAAAGGATAGAAGAGGAGGAAACTATCAAGGAGAATGAGGAGAAATGGTGCCAAAGCAGCTAAGGAAAGTGGGATCAACAATGTCACAGGTTACAGAAGATGAATTATAATTCAAGATAATCATTGGATTAAGTAACAGGGAGCCACTGGTGATCTTGGCAGTAGACAGGCAGCTGAAGGATTGGCAGGAGATAAGGAAATAAAGAGGGAGCAGAGACAAGCTTTTCAGTAAGACTGTTCCCCATGGGGAGGAGAGAAGCAGGGTAGTGCTGGAGGCAGTGCAGAGCTGATCACAGTTGCATTGGCTCCAAAGTGATGATCAGTACAGCTTTGACTACCGTGAAGATTTGCCAGTGGAAAATTTAGGGACACGGATACAATCAAAGTCCTCACACTTAGAGATGCTCTAGTTTAAGCTCAAATAATAATTTACTTTCAAGGGGGAAACTCTTGATGCCTCTTTCTTTTCCCAGTCTGGATAGAAAAATGTCTTTGCCTAAAGAGAAGTGATGCAGAAAAACCCCTGGGAGAAAGCCAGATACTCACATATTCATAGGGAAAGAAAATAGCAACCCAGTAAAGTCAATCATTTGGAAAATTTTCCACATAAATACCTTTAGCCATTTGAGGGAGCAGATTTTCTCCAAATTAAACTGTTGTTATGAAAGTCAAAGTCAGGAAGTGGCAAAACTCAACAGTCTTTAAGCTGTGCACTGAATTCCCAAACAGGAATCCTAGCTTCATCTCTCAGTCTGCTTCATGCTCCCTGAGTCTACAAAGGCTGAGGGCGCTGCGGAGGAGGCCTTTTGGATTCCTGTTTGGGGAGAAGCATCGTATTGTTCAAAAGCAACAGCTGCTGCAGAATCAGGCACAGCATTAACAATAATCTGAAAAGGATTTTGTTTAAGCCTCCGGGCCTGAGTGTAGATGAAGGGACGAGAAGCTGTCACATAGAAATGGAGAATTTATGTATCATGTTGAAGACTTTTCATGTGTGTATTGCACTCTAAGAGATGAGTATACAAATGCAGATGGTTTGGAAACACCATGAACTTTAGTAACAGCCTCTGTTTGCTTTGGTGAAACTTCAGTAAGAACTGGGCAAAATAATAAGTACAAAATCTTGACCTCCTTCCTATCTGGAGACACGGGTAACTTCAGTCCAAAAAGAAGCTACAGCAACCAAGAGGGGAAAAAAGACTTCTAAGAAATTGCTGATCGTGGCAGGTTCTCCTTTTTTTTTTCTTTGTCTTTTTTAAAGCTTCAGCAGTAAATAAAACAGCATTAACCACATATCTTAATTAGGTTACTCTAACCAGCCTGGAACTCACACCAAATATGTTTCCAGAAAGTAATTGGCCCGACTGAATGAAAGGCAGTTTCTAAACAAATTTGCTACTTC